AATAAAAGAAATCCATTGTTAGAATAACCTGGGGCCAGAAAGCTTGTCAGTCACAGGGAAAGTGGGGAAGGGAGTATTTTTAAGCCTGTACTATGTTCTAGGTCAGGTGGGTATTTGATTCCACTTGACTTACAGGGAGATTGAGCCTCCAATAAGTCCCAGGGTAGGTGAGAGGAAGATGCAGTACCTCTGAAATCTGCTTAATTCATTCATTGCACACATCTTTATTGCATTCCTGAGGGGTGTCATGCGTTGTTCTGGCTGATTCCTTGTTCCATTGAATCATCTCCAGGCATACATAACATGAAAAGTTGGAAGATGGTCCAGGGATGATATCATTTATAGGCTGGCAAAATGTTTGAGTTAACTTAGATTTTTTTTTTTTTTTTTTTTTGAGACAGTCCAGGCTGGAGTGCATTGGCACAATATTGGCTCACTGCAACCTCCACCTCCTGGGTTCAAGTGATTCTTCTGCCTCAGCCTCACGAGAAGCTGGGACCACAGGCATGTACCACCATGCTCGGCTAATTTTTTTGTATTTTTTTTTTTTTTTTCCTGAGACGGAGTTTCGCTCTTGTTACCCAGGCTGGAGTGCAATGGCGCGATTTCGGCTCACCGCAACCTCCGCCTCCCAGGTTCAGGCAATTCTCCTGCCTCAGCCTCGTGAGTAGCTTGGATTACAGGCATGCGCCACCATGCCCAGCTAATTTTTTGTATTTTTAGTAGAGACGGGGTTTCACCATGTTGACCAGGATGGTGTCGATCTCTTGACCTCGTGATCCACCTGCCTCGGCCTCCCAAAGTGCTGGGATTACAGGCATGAGCCACTGCGCCCGGCCATTTTTTTGTATTTTTAGTAGAGACGAGGTTTCACCATGTTGGCCAGGATGGTCTCGATCTCTTGACCTCATGATCCGCCTGCCTCGGCCTCCCAAAGTGCTGGGATTACAGGCGTGAGCCACTGCGCCCAGCCGTCACCTTAGATTTTGAGTAATTTTTACATTTCAGAAATCAATGTAATCTATAACTTAGCCCATGGGCTGGTAGGCTATATACTTTTGAATTCTTCATCTTGATTAGCTGCAAAATAGTGTTCCCTCAGAAATGTATTTTGTTTCTGCACGAAACTTTAAAACTATGTTAAGTAGACTTGTCAGTCTTTTACAGTTTTATGCCATTTGTTCATAGAATGATCTTTAGTTTGACCTACATGCATATAGACCTTTGCCTGGTATTTCCTTCTAGTTTCTTGTGTGTGTGTTTTAAATTTATTAATCTGGAATTCATGTTAGTATATAGTGAGGGTAGGAGTTTAACTTTATTTTTCCTAAATAGCCAGTTGCCTTGGCACTGTTAATTTTTTTTTTTTTTTTGAGACGGAGTTTCGCTCTTGTTACCCAGGCTGGAGTGCAATGGCACGATCTCGGCTCACCGCAACCTCCGCCTCCTGGGTTCAAGCAGTTCTCCTGCCTCAGCCTCCTCAGTTGCTGGGATTACAGGCATGGGCCACCATGCCCAGCTAATTTTTTTTGTGTGTCTTTAGTAGAGACAGGGTTTCACCATGTTGACCAGGATGGTCTCGATCTCTTGACCTCGTGATCCACCCGCCTCAGCCTCCCAAAGTGCTGGGATTACAGGCTTGAGCCACCGCGCCCGGCTGGCACTGTTAATATAAGCTGTCTTTGGTGATAATGGTTTAGCCTAGAAATGACCAGAGGTGTCGAGTCTAAATATCTATGCCACTGTGTTCCCTCTGAAGAGGGAAGTGGCGTATGTACGTACATCTATACCGCAGTGACTTGGGGGCCGTTTCTTATGCTCTCACTCTATGCTGCTCCTCTATCCTTGTTACTGGGTCTGGCTCCACAGTGGTGAGCAGCTAGCTGCCCACCAACAGTGGGCGCTGTCACACCTCTGCCTCAGCTCCCCTTCTGTCCTGAGCTGGCAGTGCCCTTAACAATTTTAGTAGCCCTTAGTAGCTTTGAGAGGTACTACCTGATAATACTGGCTTGCCTTGGGAGTAGTTTCTTCTGTCTGGCCTTTGTCTCTGTAGGCCATTGTCCCCCATTGCTGTGCTGTGCTGCACAGCCTCTGTCCCTAGGCCTTCAGGTCTTTGGGCACCTGCTCGTGTAGCTTGTCTTCTGCTAGCTCACATGTCCTTAAGGACAAGGCCCTTATTAATCTGTACATTCCAGGACTTTAGCTCAGAGTAAGTTTTCGTAAAACACTTGCATCTGCTAGTTTGGGAAAGATGAAATAATATATGTTACATCATTTGAATATAATACATAAATACTTTGCTGTCAGGGTGGACAAACAGGCCTTAAGTTTTATTTTCCTCCAGACCTTTCCCTTCACTCATAGGAACCTCAAAGATGTTCAGATCAGTACTTTAACCTAGTGCAGTTTAATTATGTTTGTTGAAAATTGATCCCTAAGTGTTTCTTTCACTCATTTTGCAAATGTGTGTTGAGTGCCAGGCTGGGGATAGGTCGTGGAACAGTATGGATGAGGTCCCTTATGGAGCAGCAGTATTGTTGAGCAATGTATTCCCAGCCTGGTGCACAGCATGGATTTGCTACAGTGAAGCTGGAGAGCCATATGTTAAATAGATACCAGCAGTTAACTTACTGCCAGGTAGAGGAGTGGCCTTTGTTCTTTTCTTTTCTTTTCTCCCTTTTTTTTTTTGAGATAGAGTCTCAATCTGTTGCGTAGGCTGGAGTGCAGCAGCACTATCTTGACTCACTCCAGCCTCTACCTCCCGGCTTCAAACGATTTTCCTGCCTCAGCCTCTCTCGTAGCTGGGACTGCAAGCAAGCGCCCCTAGGCCTGGCTAATTTTCATATTTTTAGTAGAGATGGGGTTTCACTGTATTGGCCAGGCTGGTCTCAAACTCCTGACCTCATGATATACCTGCCTCAGCCTCCCAAAGTGCTGGGATTACAGGTGTCAGCCACTGCACCTGGCCGACCTTTGTTCTTTTGTTGTTTTCTGGTCTCTTTGTTAGTGAAGTGGAGGTCGATTTCTGAATAGTCCTACAGACAACTCCCAAATTTTACAAGGAATTTAATCTTCATATTTATGCAAAAAAAATCATTTTTTTCCAGGGTGAAATTGGTAATGCAGAGACTAGCATGACCCTAACTCAGGCATTCATAGCTTCACCCCCAAATCCTGGAATGCGTAGTCTGTATCTGCTGATTTGGCCTTTCTTCCCTTCATCCAGCATATGTCAGTCTATCCATTCACCGCATGAACTGTCTGCACCAGGGTTGTCCGTAAATGCTGTGGAATTCTACAAGATCAAGTCCCTGCCTTTTTTTTTTTTTTGAATTTTTTTAAGAGACAGGGTCTTAATCCTTCACCCAGGCTAGAGTGCAGTGGTACCGTCATAGCTCCCGGTAACCTCAAACTCCTGGACTGAAGTGATCCTTGTGCCTCAGCCTCCTGGGTAGCAAGGAATACATGCACAAACATTACACCCAGCTGATTTTATTTTGTTTATTTATATTTATTTATTTAGGCAGAGTCTCGTTCTGTTGCCCAGGCTGGAGTGCAATGGTGCGATCTTGATTCATTGCAACCTCTCCTCCCAGGCTTAAGTGATTCTCATGCCTCAGCCCCCTGAGTAGTTGGGACCACAGGCGTGTGCCACCACACCCAGCTAATTTTTGTATTTTTAATAGAGACAGGGTTTGCCAACATGGCTGGGCTGGTTTCAAACTCCTGGCATCAAGTGATCTGCCTGCCTCAGCCTCCCAAAGTGCTGGGATTACAGGAATGAGCCACCATGGGCCATCTTGCCCCTTTAAATAAGAGCTTATATTCAAGGCGATATTAGACACTTCATGAAACATGAGATTTTAGACAGTGGTGGTGCTGTGAAGTAACTCTGATGTGTAATCTTGCCTCCGTCCCTGTCACTCTGTTGAAAAGATCACTGCTCATTAGGGAACCGTTGCTCAGTGCCAGTGGCTGTTGGGCACAGCAGCACAAATGATGCCGCTTTCTTTGTCTTTCTTTTTTTTTTTTTTTTTTTTTTTTTTGAGATGGAGTCTCGCTGTGTTGCCAGCCTGGAGTGCAGTGGTTCAATCTCGGCTTGCTGCAACCTCCTCCTCCTGTGTTCAAGCGATACTCCTGCCTCAGCCTCTCGAGTAGGTGGGACGACAGGTGTGTGCCACCATGCCAGGCTGATCTTTGTATTTTTAGTAGAGATGGGGTTTCAACATGTTGGCCAGGATGGTCTTGATCTCTTGAGCTAGTGATCTGCCCGCCTCGGCCTCACAAAGTGCTGGGATTACAGGTGTAAGCCGCCATACTTGGCCCAGTGATACTGTTTTATATGCCCCTTTCTTTCCCCTTTTCTTTCTAACTTGATGTTTGAAAGCCTGCTCCAGACACTGCATCATGTCACCCTGGGCCTGCCCCTGACGGTGCTATGCTGAGCCCTCATCTGTGAGCCTGCTGCCCAGTGACCATCCTGCTCCTGTCCCTGGCGCCCTGTGTCTTCTGGGTCTGCTCCTCCCTGCTGCTTTTCCTGTTCCATGTGTTTTGGCTGGTTTTTCTTTCTTCTTCCAACTGTGTGACTCCTTCTCAAGCCTTTGTCCAGTTAAACAGGTTACCAAGAATTTAGCGTTCTTTCTGCATTTCATTAAGAAGAGAAAAAGGCTTGCAGACATTCTGAGAACAAATTTTGTTCACTGAGGCTATGTGTTTTGGAAGTGCCATTTAGATGTTTTGCTGCTTTTAAATCTTTGGCTTTAATTTCAGTTGCTGTCATAAAAAGGAATTCAGACGTAAACCAGAAAAGTAATTAACTGTGTTTGCAAAGGAAAAACAGAAACAGTGCAGAATGTCATATTTCAAGATCATAAATTACAAATGTGCATATTTATTATTCCCCTAGAAAATGTTAATTAAAAATTTTTTATGTTTACTTGATGTAACAGAAATGAAACCCGTAATGAAGGGTCTAATTTCTTTTCCTTTTTAAATTCCAGAATGTATGACAACATGTCCACAATGGTGTACATAAAGGAAGACAAGTTGGAGAAGCTTACGCAGGATGAAATTATTTCTAAGACAAAGCAAGTAATTCAGGGGCTGGAGGCTTTGAAGAATGAGCACAATTCCATTTTACAAAGTTTACTGGAGACACTGAAGTGTTTGAAGAAAGATGATGAAAGTAACCTGGTGGAGGAGAAATCAAACATGATCCGGAAGTCACTGGAGATGTTGGAGCTTGGCCTGAGTGAGGCACAGGTACGAGTGAGAATGACTCCGATGTTGTCGAGAACTTTGGGTGGTTTGGAAAAATGGAGACTTTGTTTGAAATAAGCAGTTTCACTGAAGAGTAGGAAAGATAGTTATAGAATAGCAGATCCAAGCCAGGTGTGGTGGCTCACGCCTGCAATCCAAGCACTTTGGGAGGGCGAGGCAAGTGGATCACTTGAGGTCAGGAGTTTGGGACCCGCCTGGCCAATGTGGTGAAACCCTGATTCTACTAAAAATACAAAAATCAGCCGGGCCTGGTGGCAGGCATCTGTGATCTTAGCTACGTGGGAGGCTGAGGCGGGAGAATCACTTGAACCTGGGAGGTGGAGGTTGTAGGGAGCCAAAATCGCACCACTGCATTCTAGCCTGGTTGACAGAGCAAGACTTTGTCTCAAAAAAAACCCAGATCCACTTATGTGTATTGTGTATGTTCATAAATGACTACTGATTTGGGCCTATCTGAATTTTATTTTTATTTTTCTGAGATGGTGTTTGTTTTCATTGCCCAGGAGTGCAGTGGCACAATCTCTGCTCACTGCAACTTCCGCCCCCGCTTGGTTCAAGTTATTCTCCTGCCTTAGCCTCCTAAGTAGCTGGGATTACAGACGTGCACCACCATGCCTGGCTAATTTTTTGCATTTTTAATAGAAACAGGGTTTTACCATGTTGGCCAGGCTGGTCTCGAACTCCTAAACCTTACGGCCTACCTGAATTTTTAAAAGCAGAGCCAAAATAGTGGATACTGCTATGTATCATTAAGGATTTGATTTGGCTGCCAGTATCAAAAAACAAAAACTGGTTTAAACCACAAGATGGTTGTCAAGCAAATACTGAGGTATACTATCCCGGACAGGTTCTATAGCTGCACAGTCATCGGGGATACTCAGCCTCCTAACATCTGCCACCCTACACCTTGGCAGCCTTCTTAGGAACCGAGAGTGAGCTCCAGTGGCAGCCTCATGGCTTTCTTCTAGCACAGGGGAAGGAAAGGAAGGATGTGCCTTCTTCCTTGAAGGCTACTTCCTTGATACTGTATACAGCAGTGCTTACATTTCATTGGCCAGAACCTGATGGTTGTACCTGGGTGATTGAGAGATGGGAATATTGTCTTCCCACTTAAACACTGGCAGGTTCTGAAGCCTAAGGAAGAAAGGGAGAGTGGACACTGGCCAGTGGGTGATGGTTTCTGCAGTCCCAGGGCCAGATTGTTTCATTTCTTTGACTAACCTTTGTTTTTTTCTTTTTCTTTTTTTTTTTTTTTTAAATGAGACGGAGTTTCGCTCTTGTTACCCAGGCTGGAGTGCAATGGCGCGATCTCGGCTCACCGCAACCTCCGCCTCCTGGGTTCAGGCAATTCTCCTGCCTCAGCCTCCTGAGTAGCTGGGATTACAGGCAACGCGCCACCATGCCCAGCTAATTTTTTTGTATTTTTAGTAGAGACGGGGTTTCACCATGTTGACCAGGATGGTCTCGATCTCTCGACCTCGTGATCCACCCGCCTCGGCCTCCCAAAGTGCTGAGATTACAGGCTTGAGCCACCGCGCCCGGCTTTTTTCTTTTTTTTTTTGAAACAGAGTCTCGCTCTGTTGCCCAGGCTGGAGTGCAGTGGCACGACTTCCTTCAGCTCACTGAAACCTTCATCTCCCGGGTTTAAGTGATTCTCCTGCCTCAGCCTCCTGAGTCGCTGGGATTACAGGCATGTGCCACCACATCCAGCTAATTTTTGTATTTTTAGTAGAGACGGAGTTTCACTCTGTTGGCCAGACTGGTCTCGAACCTCTGACCTCAAGTGATCCACCCTGCTCTGTCTCCCAAAGTGCTGGGATTATAGGTGTTAGCCACCACGCCTAGCCGACTAAACTGTTTCTATAATATCATGCTTGACATGGATATGAAAACACTGGAAACATCTAGGTTTTTAAATTCTCTCTCCTGATAATTTCTGGCTCTGCCAGCATATCTTAGGTAAAATTAAATATACTGAAGCTTGGCTTCTTTCCTTCTTAGCTTTCTCTAGTTTAGTGAGTGAATGGAGCAGAAGAGAGGGGCTGCTGGTCAACAGTTTCTGTTTTCATAGAGGAACTGACCGCCCAACCCTGATTTTAGAGACTTCGTTCTAACCATGTTACAGACTTGAGCTGCAGAACTGTAGCTTTGTTTGGATATTGTGAACCTATTATTTCTCAAGTTCTGTTATCAAAACAGGTGACATGAATTTAAATTTGCTTTTTAGGTGTCACAGATAATAGGTTTAAAAAAAGAAGGAAGAAAAGTCCCATCTTCTGTAATTTCAGGATTTAAACCTAGGAGAGTAATAATGTGGTTACTATATTATGAGAGGGAAGGACAGGTATATGATCTAAAGAGAGAACAGATTGCAGCCAGCCAGCTCCTCCCAGCTCTTTCTGCTCTTATGTTCTAGGAACTTTCCATGGCCTCATGGTGGTCTGTTCCAGAAACTAGTGAGGACCCTATAGCCAGAGGCCTGGAGTGGCCCCTGATTTTATGACATAGGCGTAAGCTTATGAGTGCACCAGTGCATTCTTATTCTTGGTAGCTACAGAGACGTCCTCTCTCACCTTGGAACGTTGAGGAAGATTTGTATGTGGACCGTTCTCTGACCCGCACCTCCAGGCCTTTACCAACCTGCACTCTGTGCATACATGCATGTGTGTATACACAGTCAGGTCTATAAAAAATTGTGTTGAGGCTATCTTGATAGAAAGTAAAATAACATAGTTTCATCAGAAGGGTAGCTTTGTTTTCATTGCTGGTCCATTTGACATGCTGTTAAAGAGATTGGTATTTTTTGTAGGCATTCAGAGCATGTGGTATTCTTTATCATGCCCTGTTATGTAGTCTATAGCTAAATGGGAAAAGAGAAATAAACGGCAGGTTGTACTTACATGTACTTTGGAGAACATATCTGCCAGAGTAAACTAGAGCCGCAGCCACAGAATGCTCGCACAGGTGGGAGGGACTCTTGCTGGACAGCGTACCCCAGTGCTGCACCTGTTTCTGTCTGCTCAGGTTATGATGGCTTTGTCCAACCACCTGAATGCTGTGGAGTCTGAGAAACAGAAACTGCGTGCACAGGTTCGTCGTTTGTGCCAGGAGAATCAGTGGCTACGGGATGAACTGGCCAACACGCAGCAGAAACTGCAGAAGAGTGAGCAGTCTGTGGCTCAACTGGAGGAGGAGAAGAAGCATCTGGAGTTTATGAATCAGCTCAAAAAATACGATGATGACATTTCCCCATCTGTGAGTGGCTCTGTAGCAAATGTGGTGCTGACGGTAAAATAAGAGTCCCAGGACAAGTCATAGAGGTTCTGTGTGCCATGTTCTTTTCAGGTTAGAACATTGACCAGAACATGCAAAAATGCTTCGTAAATATAAACCACAGTCCAGAGAGATGCCATTACCCTCGGCAAGATCTGCCCCGAGGTCGGCCCCAGCTTTGGCTCTGGAGCTTCCTTGCCCCTCTGCAGCTTGGCTTTCATGCCATCAGCTGCTGGTCTAGCAGTGGTCCAGTCCAGCCATCTGAATCTGGACTCCGGGCAAACTCTCTGCCCCTTACGGTGCTCTTGGCATTGCCATTCTCTTTGAAACTTCCCTGGCCCCCTGGACACCACCTGGCTCTCTTGCCACCTCTCTCATCTTCTCCTTGGCCTCCCTTGCCAGCTTATCTTCCTGTATCTGCAATGGAAGGAAGGAACTTGGTTTTCTTCTTTTTCTTTCTCTCTTTCTTTCTTTTTTTTTTTTTTTAAAGACGGAATCTTGTTCTGTCATTCAGGCTGGAATGTAGTAGTTGATTCTCAGCTCACTGCAACCTCCACCTCCCAGGTTCATGCAATTCTCTTGCCTTAGCCTCCCAAGTAGCTGGGATTACAGGTGCTTGACACCACGCCCAGCTAAGTTTTTTTTTTGTTTTTTTTTTTTTAAGTAGAGATGGAGTTTTCATTGTTTTGACCAAGCTGGTCTTGAATTCTTGGCCTCAAGCGATCCACCCACCTCAGCCTCCCAAAGTTCTGGGATTCTATGCAGGAGCCACTGTGCCCAGCCTTCTTCTTTCTCTGTTGACACTATTTGGATGTTTATCCTAGTCTGAGTTACTTTTCATTCAGCATTTATTTCTGTTTCAGTTAACTTTTTTTGAAACAGAGTTTCACTCGGTCGCCAGGCTGGATTGCAGTGGCTCGATCTTGGCTTATACTGCAACCTCTGCCTCCCAGGTTCAAGCGATTCTCCTGCCCCAGCCTCTCAAGTAGCTGGGACTATAGGCATGTGCCACCATGCCCAGGTAATTTTTGCATTTTTAGTAGAGATGGGGTTTCACCATGTTGGCTGGGATGGTCTCCATATCTTGACCTTGTGATCTGCCCGCTTCGGCCTCCCAAAGTGTTGGGATTATAGGCATGAGCCACCTTGCCTGGCCAACTTCTTTTTTTCTGGGACAGAGTCTTGCTCTATCACTTAGGCTGGAGTGCAGTGGAGGGGATTTTGTCTCACTACAACCTCTGCCTCCCAGGTTCAAGTGATTCGCCTGCCTCAGCCTCCCAAGTAGCTGGAACTGTAGGTGCCCACCACGACGCCCAGCTAATTTTTGTACTTTTTGTAGAGACAGGTTTCACTGCGTTAGCCAGGATGGTCTTGATCTCCTGACCTCAGGTGATCCGCCTGCCTTGGCCTCTCCAAGTGCTGGGATTACAGGTGTGAGCCACTGTGCCCGGCCTTAACATCAATATTTTACTGTTAACTAAAACACAGACTTGGTTTGGATGTCACCAGGCCTTCCACTAGTATCTCTTTTCTATGCTAGGACCTAGTCCAGTGTTCCACATTGCATTTGGATCTATCGTTTTTTAAATACCTGTATGGTGCCAGACATGCTCATGGACATAATCAGAATATCAGAGAGGTCCACATTTGTGTCTCTAGTTTGAATCCCTATCCTAAGATTACTGAAAGTCTTTTGCATAGCACTGGCAAACCTACACTTGCCCGCTGTCTTCATCTGCTTGGGCTGCTGTAACAAATAACACAGGCCGGGTGGCTTAACATTTATTTTCTCACTGTTCTGAAAGTTCAATATCAGGGTACCAGCAAGATCCAGTTCTGGTGAGGGCCTTCTTCCTGGCTTGCAGATTGCCACCATCTCTTTGTGTTCTCATATGGTACAGAGAGAGAAGGAGTAAGCTCTCTAGCATCTCTTTTTTTTTTTTTTTTTTTTCTTTTTCTTTTTTTTTTTTGAGACGGAGTTTCGCTCTTGTTACCCAGGCTGGAGTGCAATGGCGCGATCTCAGCTCACCGCAACCTCCACCTCCTGGGTTCAGGCAATTCTCCTGTCTCAGCCTCCTGAGTAGCTGGGATTACAGGTACGCACCACCATGCCCAGCTAATTTTTTGTATTTTTAGTAGAGACGGGGTTTCACCATGTTGACCATGTTGGTCTCGATCTCTTGACCTCGTGATCCACCCGCCTGGGCCTCCCAAAGTGCTGAGATTACAGGCTTGAGCCACCGCGCTCGGCCTTCTAGCATCTCTTAAGGGCTGTAATCCCATCGTGAGGGCCCCACCCTTGTGAACTCATCTTACCGTTATCACCTCCCAAAGGTTCCATCTCTAAATACCATCACATTGGGGATTAGGGCTTTAACATAGGAATTTGCTGAGGACACAGTTCAGTTGATAGCACGCTATTTCAAGAGGCTTACCTTATTCCTCCCTCACATCTCCTCTAGGTCAGGTGCCAACTAAATGTTTTGATTTAAAAGATGTGGCTGGGCACATTGGCTCATGTCTAATCCCAACCCTTAGGAAGGCAGATCACCTGAGGCCAGGAATTTGAGGACAGCCTGGCTAACATAGTGAAACCTTATCTCTACTAAAAATACAAAAATTAGCCAGGCGTGGTGGCACATGCCTATAATTCCAGCTACTCAGGAGGCTCCGAGGCAGGAGAATCACTTGAACCTGGGAGATGGAGGTTACAGTGAGGCAAGATTGTGCCACTGCACTCCAGTCTAGGCGATAGAGTGAAGCTCTCTCAAAAAAAAAAAAAAAAAAAAAAAAATTAAGGCCAGGTCAGGTGCTGTGGCTCACGCCTGTAATCCCAGCATTTTGGGAGGCCGAGGTGGGCGGATCACCTGAGGTCAGGAGTTCAAGGCTAGCCTGGCCAACATGGCGAAGCCCCATCTCTACTAAAAAATACAAAAAAATTAGCTGGGCATGGTGGCACACACCTGTGGTCCCAGCTACTTGGGAAGTTGAGGCATGAAAATCATATGAACCTGGGAGGCAGAGGTTGCAGTCAGCCAAGGTCATGCCACTGCATTCCAGCCTGGGTGACTAAGGGAGACCCTGTCTCAAAAAAGAAAAAATAATAAATGAACAAATAAACAAATAAATAAAAGATGTGCTGCCGTAGAGTGCTATGGAAATGTAGGTACTTGCAGATGTCTGTGCCAGCAGTGATTGACCTGGGTAGGACATTGGAGAATGTTAAGAAGAAAGCTAGTTTCGTAGAATTGGAGAATTTTAAAATTCATTATTTTGAAAAAATGTTAAATTTGGAGAAAACATCCAATGACTTGATTCTCCTTGCCTTTTCAGGAGTACTTATGAGTGCCTGTTTCTTCTGAACCCTGTTCACATAGTGGCATAGCATGTGCCACGGATGCTTACTGCTGCTGGGCATCTTTTCTTAGGGTGAGGGGTTCTCCTGTGGCAGTCCGGAGCCAGGGGCACTCAGGAAGTTGCACACAGACCCAGCATATCCTCTCCTCTGCAGCTCATACTCCCCTTTTGTTAACTGCCCCCACGGCACCCTTCACGGCATTGTTTGACTCTGTCCCGGGGCAGTTCAGGGTCACGTCCTGCATGTGGCTGTCACATCTCTGGAGTAGCCTTTCACATGGAAGGGGGCCTCCATCTGTGGTTGTCTTTTCATGACATTGGTGTCTTTGAAGAATGCAGGCCAGTTACTTCGTCCATCATTCCTCAGTTGGGCTTCGTCTAATGCTTGGATTATGCATCCCAGACAGGAATATTCTAAAGGCAATGTGTCTTTATCACATTTTCCCTTCTGGAGCCAAACAGTGTTCATCTGCTCCACGATGAAGCTAATTTCTTACTGTTCAGGCTGTTACCTGTCTTTTCCATTATGTAGTTTCTGATCTTATTTCTTTGACTAAACAGCAATATATGGGAAACATAGGCACAGGCCTTTAAAACTGCGAGGTTTCAAACTGCTCCCAGGGATCCTGCCCTGGAGCTGATTGTGGTGGTGAGGAATCTAACCCCTCCACTTCTCTGGGGATCAGAGATGTACAATTTTAATCTGTTTCTACATATTTGGTTCCCAAATAAGATTTTATTTTGAGTCAGGGTTTCCCAGCTCTCTTAGACCTCCCTCAGAGCACAGGAGAAGGATCTGAGGCATAGAAGTGCAGCTGTGGCCCATTTCGTCAAACTGTGGTCTGCCTTTAGGTGTTCGTGTTCTAGTCTAGCAAGCTTTTCATTACTCCTGTTAAATGATGGATAAACCACATTGTGGGCGCTCCTACATTTGATTTTAAAAATGGATTTTTTTTTTGTAAGATTCTTCATTAAAATGTATTTAATATTAAAGATTTTCAGGACAGGATGTATAGTACTTATAAGATGAAGCGTTGTCCTGGGTCTGTTTTATAGGAGGACAAAGACACTGATTCTACCAAAGAGCCTCTGGATGACCTTTTCCCCAACGATGAAGACGACCCAGGGCAAGGAAGTGAGTGATGGGTGATGTGGGCATGTTACCGAGTCCAGGAGAGAGGTATTCTCCCCTAGAACACGGTCATAGCAATCACTGGGAGCCTTAGTGCGTGTAGCCTGCCTGGAGGAAGCACCCCTACAGCAGGGTTGCCTTTTGTTTTCCAAAATAATTTGTGTTGCGTGTCGGAATACAGGAATATGTTAGAGCAAGACTCTAGGATACAGCAACATGCATGTGCAGTTAAGGCATGATCTGCAGGTTCTTAAGGGGTAGAGAAATCAGAATTACTTGTTCTGCTTGTTTCATGGTGCCAAGATAAGTCTTATGGCACTGAGTGGCCATGGTGCCATCCCTGACACCACAGTCACTACTGTTAACCTGCCTGCCCAGGCAGTACTAGGAAAAGATTTAAATAGCACTGGGGGTCGAGTGCTAACTTGAACCAAAGCTAGAAAAGGCAGTTTTAAAGAAACTGACTCATCTGGTTAATTTTCTTTAAAAACTCATCTGAAATGAACTTTCTCGGTGCAGTCCAGCAGCAGCACAGCAGTGCAGCTGCGGCTGCCCAGCAGGGCGGCTACGAGATTCCTGCGCGGCTGCGTACGCTCCACAACCTGGTGATCCAGTATGCCTCACAGGGGCGCTACGAGGTAGCCGTGCCCCTCTGCAAGCAGGCCCTGGAGGACCTGGAGAAGACTTCAGGACACGACCACCCGGACGTGGCCACCATGCTCAACATCCTGGCCTTGGTGTACAGGCTAGTCACTTTTGTTTACTGAATTTTACCTGGAGACAATGTTTTTAACCATCTTGCACCTTAAAATATATTTTTATGTATCTATATAAACTACTTTTCAACTACATCCACTTTTCTTTAAATGGGTTAAATTAAAAATATTTAGCAAGCTCTGTGGAAGGCTATCACCAAATCAGAACAGATGCTGCCAGTGAGCACTCAGTTCTGCCGGTTTAGGATAGCCCGCGGTGTACTCCTCACTCCAGCCAAACAAAGCTGTTTTGACCTTTTCTGCAAGACCCTTGTAGGCGGCTTCTTTTGTCTAAATAGACTTCCCACTTGGCCTGGCAGTGTCCCTCCTGCCTTCCGAGGCCTGGGGCACTGTATCTCCCTTTGGAATCCTGGATTCAACTTGCCCTTTGCCCCTTGTGTGCCCCCCTAACCCTCTCACCCCTGCTGAAGGCCGCCCAGGGGAGTGGTGGGCTCTGTGTTGTGTGGTAGAAGAGACCCTTTGGCTCAGTGTCTAGGATGCAGCTGGGGGCTGGGGCTGGAGCCGGAGGCAGGGCATCCTGTTGGGACAGGATTGAGGTTGTCGGGGTGTGGGCATGGGAACCTGAGCCAGGATGAGGACGTGGGGAGGAAGAGGAGCGTGCAGGGCCCAGAGACACTAGAAGAGAAATGCGTTAACATAATCATTCGTATGCATAAGTGAGTTCTTTAAAAAGAAGTTTTGAAAGTTGGTAAGAAGAAAAACACACAAAAAAGAAAGCGAGCCCCCTGTTTTAACCACGCTATTTAAAATGAGGCCGTGCCCTTTGGCTCTGTAGTTTGTCAGCAGCTGGGTCACCCCCATGACTATGCATCAGGGTTGTTTTGTGGACATTCTAGACATTTTTTGACTGTTTTCCTGTTGGTGGATGTTGAGATTGTTTGCATATTTTCCTTTTTTTTTTTGAGACAGAGTCTGGCTTTGTCACCCAGGCTGGAGTGCAGTGGTGTGATCTCGTCTCACTGTAACTTCTGCCTCCTGCGTTCAAGCAGTTCTTTTTTTTTTTTTTTTTTTTTTTTGAGACGGAGTTTCACTCTTGTTACCCAGGCTGGAGTGCAATGGCGCGATCTCGGCTCACCGCAACTTCCGCCTCCTGGGTTCAGGCAATTCTCCTGCCTCAGCCTCCTGAGTAGCTGGGATTACAGGCACGTGCCACCATGCCCAGCTAGTTTTTTGTATCTTTAGTAGAGACGGGGTTTCACCAGGTTGACCAGGATGGTCTCGATCTCTCGACCTCGTGATCCACCCGCCTCAGCCTCCCAAAGTGCTGGGATTACAGGCTTGAGCCACCGCGCCCGGCCTAAGCAGTTCTTCTGCTTCAGTCTCGTAGGTGGCCTTACAGGTGTGTGCCACCATGCCCAAGTAACTTTTGCATTTTTAGTAGAGACAGGGTTTTGCGATGTTGGCTGGGCTGTCTGGAACTCCTGACCTCAGTGATGCGACTGCCTCGGCCTCCCAGAGTGCTGGGATTACAGGCATGAGCCACAGCGACTAGCCAGTTGTTTGCATATTTTCACTGTAGGAATTTCTTAGTCACAGGTGTTTGCATATAGCTCTTAATAGACTGAGACATTTCATTCCAAAAAGGTTTGTTTTTTTTTTTGGGAGACAGGGTCTCGCTCAGTGATGCGATCATGGTGCATTGCAACCTTTGACTCCTGGGGTCAAGTCATCCTCTTGCCTCAGCCTCCTGAGTAGCTGGGATCACAGGCATGCGCCATCACGCCCTGCTAAATTTTGTATATTTTGTAGAGATCGCGTTTTGCCACATTGCCCAGGCTGGTCTCGAACTCTTGGAATCAAGTGATCTGCTCAGCTCGGCACCCCAAAGTGCTGGGACTACAGGTGTGAACTGCTGTACTTGGCAAGGTTTTTTTTGTTGTTGTTGTTTTTTAAACTTATATGCCCGTTAACAGCATATGAAAGTTTCTGGCCAGCACTAGAGATTATTAATATAAATGAGTTAAGTAGCATCACTAGGTTTTTGTTGTGCACAGTATGCATGGGCACACACATGACTCCTGGGTGCTGGGGATGCTGTGGCCTCCATCAGTCTTGTGTTTTCCCCTAGCATTATAGTGTGAGAGTTGACCCATGTGCGTAGATGTTTGGAAAAATATTAGTAGCTACGTATGTATTCATATTCAGTATTCTACCTTTGAGCTTGTATTAAATGACACATAGTTTTAAGCTTTTTTTTTTTTTTTGCCTTTAATATTATACTGATCTTTACAAGATTTTGGATTTATTTATTGTAGAGATGGAGTCTCATCATGTTGCCCAGGCTGGTCTCCAAGATAAAATCTTGGACTCCAAATGACCTTCGTGTTGACTTCTCAAAGTACTGGGGTTATAGGTTGAGCCATCACGCCTGGCTTGGATTTCTTTCTTTCTTTTTTTTTGAGATGGAATTTTGGTCTTGTCGACTAGGCTAGAGTGCAATGGAGTGATCTTGGCTCACTGCAACCTCAGCCTCCCAGGTTTAAGCAGTTCTCCTGCTTCAGCCTCCCGAGTAGCTGGGATTACAGGTGCCTGCTACCACGTCCCACTATTTTTTTGTATTTTTGAGTAGAGACAGTGTTTAATCATGTTGGCCAGTCTGGTCTCAAACTCCTGACCTGAGGTGATCAGAGTGTTGGGATTACAGGTTTCAGCCACTGTGCCCTGCCATGTATTTCTTTTTTTAGGATAAATTCGTAAGACAGGTTAGAGTATAAACATTTTATTGTTTTTGGCACCTGTTGCCAAACTGCCACTCAGAAAGGCTGTGCCTTCCCATGCTTCTGCCGTATGGGCTTCACCCTGGAGGTGGGGGGCTCTGTTTTGTTGGTGGAGATAGAGTATGCGTTGTGTTTTAATTCGTATTTCTTTGATTATGTAGTTTTAGTCATTTGTATCCATCTGTGAATTTTCTGTTATCTTGCACATTTTTCTGTTAGGATATTAATGCTTTAGTGTTCTATTTTTGTATTTGTTTTGAATTTGAGTTCTTGGTGGGCTTCTTAAGCCTATTTAACAAATCACAGTGTGCTGGTCCCATACCAGAATTCCTGGTTCAGCAGGGCTGGGGTAGGTCTGGGTTTCTAATAAGTTCCAGTTGAGGTGACTGCTGTTGGTTTGGGACCACACCTGAGAACCTTTGCTAATTGATAGTCCCAGACATTTTATATGTCATAGTTTACAGAAGTTGCTTGGTATACCTCATCTCATTTAATTCTGTTTTTTTTTTTTTGAGACAGAGTCTTGCTCTGTTGCCTAGGCTGGAGTGCAATGGCACCATATCGGCTCACTGCAACCTCTGCTTCCTGGGTTCAAGCGATTCTCTTGCCTCAGCCTCTCAAATAGCTGGAATTATAGGCACCCACCACCACGCCTAGCTAATTTTTGTATTTTTAGTTGAGACAGGGTTTTACCATTTTGATCAGGCTGGTCTTGAACTCCTGATCTCAGTTGATCCAGCTGCCTTGGCCTCCTAAAGTGCTGGGATTACAGGCATGAACCATTGTGTCCCGCCTTATTTAATTCTCTTAATGCTTTAGGTAGCTTTTTTTCAAATCACATTTACTACTTTTTTTGTTTTTGTTTTTGAGAAGAGTCTTGTTCTGTCACCCAGGCGGGAGTGCTGTGGTGTGATCTCGGCTCACTGCAACCTCTACCTCCTGGGTTGAAGCAGTTTTCCTGCCTCAGCTTCCCAAATAGCTGGGACTATAGGTGCACGCCACCATGCCCAGCTAATTTTTTGTATTTTAGTAGAGGCAGATTTTCACTGTGTTGCCCAGGCTGGTCTTGAACTCCTGAGCTCAGGCAGTACACCCACCTTGGCCTCCCAAAGTGGTACGATTACAGGCGTGAACCACTGTACCTGTCCACTACTTTTTGGAACTCTATATTCTATTTGCTGACTTTCACAAAATGTTTGAGGCAGCTTACAGTAGGATGTAATAGGATGAAAGAAGAAACAACAATAGATTGATACTTGGCCAGAATTAGTGTGCCTCAGAGGTTCTGGAAGCCTTATCAGCCTTCTCATGTTCTGCAGGGCAAAGCCTTGGTCAGCAGTTATCATGACTCAATTGAGAAAGATGTGTGCTCAGTCCCAAAAGCAAATACTTATTTTCAGCCCCATCAATAATGAGTGGCACACTTTTAAACTGAGAGTTTCTGCTTCTGGGGTGCTTGTTTTACCCCAATCAAGAAAGATTCTTCATTCCTCCATACTCAGGAAAACGGTGGCAGATTGGGTACCAAATTCAGACATTACAATAATTTGCTTTCGTTCACTGTTTTTAAAAGGCTTTTTTTTTTTTTTTTTTTTTTTTGAGTTGGAGTTTCACTCGTTACCCAGGCTGGAGTGCAATGGTGCGATCTTGGCTCACCACAACCTCCGCCTCCTGGGTTCAAGCAATTCTCCTGCCTCAGCCTCCTGAGTAGCTGGGATTACAGTCATGCGCCACCATGCCCAGCTAATTTTTTTTGTATTTTTAGTAGAGATGGGGTTTCACCATGTTGACTAGGATGGTCTTGATCTCTTGACTTCATGATCCACCCGCCTCGGCCTCCCAAAGTGCTGGAATTACAGGCTTGCGCCACCGCGCCCGGTCTGAAAGGCTTTTTAAATATACACGTACCATGTCATCTTCTCACAGCAAGACCATGCAGTAGATCATGTACTTGCTTTGTAGATGGGAAGGCTGGGACTGTGTGAGGTCACTTAATGCACCCAAAGCCATGTAGCCATTAACTGGCAGAGCCCAAGCTCAGACACTAGAATTAATTCTGTCTGATAGCAAATGCGAGCTTGGTCCATTGTTCTAAATTGTTGCATTTATTCTATGCTGGCCAGCTGGCATAGGCACAGCAACACTGTAGTGTTGTGGGGACATTATTTTCCCAGTGGCCTAGATGGGAAGGTCAAGTCCAGAAGCTAGTCAGGTCTGATTCCAGAGCTCACCTTGCCAGTCCATTTATTATGGATTTCCTTCCAGTCTTTTTTATCCACACGTAAGCTTGTGGTTTTTTTCTTAAATGGTTTCAGCTTAACTTTATTTCTGTAGCTGAAAATTACATTGAAAAAAGCTATAGTGATCTACATCTGAAACACTTACCTATTTATTTCTGTAGTTGAAAATTACATTGAAAAAAGCTATAGTGATCTACATCTGAAATACTTACCTAAAACGCTTAAATGTTTGTTTTTCCATTTAGGGATCAGAATAAATACAAAGATGCAGCTAACCTACTGAATGATGCCTTGGCTATCCGTGAGAAAACTTTGGGCAAAGATCATCCTGCGGTTTGTATACCCAGTTCTTTCCTTCTTTTACATTTTATTTTTCCCATATATTTCTTTTATCCAACTCATTTTACTATTAAACTCAACAGGGAAAGTGTAAGCGCTGGCTTTTCCCTAGATGGTGCAGGTAGGAGGTCTTCACTTACTCAGTGCCAGTGACAAGCCAGAGCACACCTGATTTGTTTATGACCACACCTCAAATGGATCACCAACTATATTTTTTGATTGTAAATCAAATTGCATGTCCTTCTAGAAATTTTTTTCTGAATAATTATATTGTCTTTTAATTAAAATCTGGTCAGATTTGCCTATGGATCTGTTTTGGTTGGCTTTGTGGCTTCCAGGGAAATTTTTAAGAAGTTAGTATTGTGTTGTTGATGTTAGTATTCTGCAGGGTTACTTTGTATAATTTATACTGTAGTGAATTCTGCTTTTCCTTTTCACTGAAGTGTCATATTCTTTTATCCAACTAAGAATGCTTTGCTGTACAGACTGAGTATAAATGAATATGTGGTGTATAAATGTACTCTATTTGGTTATCGTTTACCATTCTTAGTGAGTGGTTTTCTCTGTGTCGGCAGGTGGCAGCGACTTTGAATAACCTTGCAGTCCTTTATGGAAAAAGAGGGAAGTACAAAGAAGCAGAGCCATTGTGTAAAAGAGCTCTGGAAATCCGAGAAAAGGTACAAAAGAAGGGGGCAGTTTTGTTCTTTGAGGTTTTTTTTTTTTCTTTTTGAAAAAATGTCTCGCTATGTTGCCAGGCTGCTGGAGTGCAGTGGTGTGATCTCAGGTGACTGCACTCTCCACCTCCGGGTTAAGTGATTCTCCTGCCTCAGCCTCCCGAGTAGCTGGGACTACAGGCATGCACCACCACACCCAGCTAATTTTTGTATTTTTAGTAGAGACAGGGTTTCACCATGTTGGTCAGGATGGTCTCGATCTCTTGACCTCGTGATCTGCTTCTTGGCCTTGCAGAGTGCTGGGATTAGAGGTGTGAGCCACTGCACCCAGCCACACAAACAGTATTTTAACCTGGTATTTTTTGTGATTATTTATTAGTGATTCTTATCAGTTAATTTTGAGCCACATGGCAAGGAATTGGGAGAGAAAATAAAAAGGGGCTCCATATCAAATTATACAGGTAATATTTTATCATGCTGCCAGTCTGCATGAGATTTCTGAAATAGAATGGTCGAATTTGGGTTAGGCTGGAGTCAAAGTCAGGGAGAGCATAAAAGTATCAAATTAAGGATTAGGAACTATATAAGATATCTGCCAAATTCATTCATATATTTTACCCTTTCATTCATTTAGAGCCCCTTGTTTAGAGCTGGTGATTTACAGATAAGAGATGTAGTCCCTCCCACTAGGACACAGTCCACTGGACAGATGTGAGGATTGCAGGTGACGCATCAGCCTCTAGAATAGAGAGCTCTGGGAGGATATGAAGTGGGGGCTCCTCCAGGTCCAGAGCCAGAGGATGTTGGGAATGGTTTCTTAGAGAAGGGCAGTATTGGAACTGCATCTGGAGTAATTGTTGAAAGTGTTCTAGGCAAGGAGAGGTAGGGAATGCAGAAAGGAGTAGAGAGTGCCTCCCTGAGGACCACATGTATAAAGGTGCAGAGTAGAGAGAACTCATCACTTGTTCAAGGTACTGAAGGAGGAGGTTAGTGTTCATTCATCCATCTGTGTGCCAGGCCCCTTTCTAGATGCTGAGATTACATTGGTGGAGAAGAGAGACAAAGAATTTGCACTCCGGAGGCTTACATTTTAATAAAGAATATTCAAGGTACTTTAGTGATTCTCACAAAGAAAGAAGGAAAGAATCAGGTGCTGTGCCTGTGAGTTCACTAGGTAAGGTGGAGTGAGGTCTCCCTTAATTTGGTATAGGGAAGTAGGGAAGTCCCTTTTGAGGGAGACTGAAGAGAACTCTGAAGGATAAGTCGTTGCTAGTGGGGAGGGCTAGAAGAAGAGTGTCCTGAGCAACTGGAACAGCTGTGGGCTCTTCCAGAACCTGGCAGTGAAACTCACATAGCCTTCGCAAAGCCCATTTTCCTTCTTGTCAAAATGTGCCCAATAATGGTTTGTACCTACCGTGAAGGATTACTGCAAGAATTAAACCACATAGTGCAGCTAAAGAAAATTAGCACAGTTCCTTCCCTCCCCTCGTGAGTAAGAATTTGATAAATTCTGGTTATTTTATTACTACATGGCCTGGGGAGCCAGTTAAAGATTTAAGTCTGAAAGCGTAGCACAGTCGTGTTTATGTTGAGGAAGATCCTAATGTGACGGTAGGGTTGGAGAATGGATGATTGGATGGTAGCAGAACGAGTGTTTCTAATACGCTGTTTTTTATTCCCAGGTTTTGGGGAAGGATCACCCCGATGTTGCCAAGCAGTTAAATAACTTGGCCTTACTGTGCCAGAACCAGGGCAAGTATGAAGAAGTAGAATATTATTATCAAAGAGCCCTTGAGATCTACCAGACAAAACTGGGACCTGATGACCCCAACGTGGCTAAGACGAAAAATAACCTGGTGTGTTGACTGGCACAGCACTAGGGAGGGGCCCAGGAGTGCTTTCTTCCCAAGTCCAAATACTTTATAATTTAACTGTAGACTAAAATTTATGCTTTGTTTACCTCCAAAAGATACTAAATATTTTATTTTATTTTAAGGCATCCTGCTATCTGAAGCAAGGAAAGTTCAAGCAGGCAGAAACACTGTACAAAGAAATTCTCACTCGTGCACATGAAAGGGAGTTTGGTTCTGTAGATGGTAAGAAATATACTCCGTTTCAAGTGCATTTAATCGTGTAATGACTAATAATAATATTGTTTATTAAGCACTTAACCATCTATATGACTAAGCTAAATAGTTGAAATGTGTGATCTCACTTAATTTTCATAGCAGTCCTGTGCAGCGGGTCACATTACCCCATTTTAGAAGTAAGGACACCACAGACTGTGACTTGTATGAGGTCCCGTAGCTGAGAAGCAGTTAGACTCAGATTGCAGTGCCCAGAGCCCATAGCACGTCCTCATTAGAAACCTACCAAATTCATGCAGAAGTGAGACATAAGACTCACCCAAATCCATCGCCTCACATTTTTAATGTCTTTCTTTCCTTCTGTGCCTTTCGTTTATAGATTTCAAACCATACTGCCCATATCTTTATGTATACTGCTTATTTACAATTTTAGCATGAGCACCTTTCAGTCATGAAAATATTTTTTGTAAACATTATTATTATTATTATTATTATTTTAGACGGAGTTTCGCTCTTGTTACCCAGGCTGGAGTGCAATGGCACGATCTCGGCTCACCGCAACCTCCGCCTCCTGGGTTCAGGCAATTCTCCTGCCTCAGCCTCCTGAGTAGCTGGGACTACAGGCATGCACCACCATGCCCAACTAATTTTTTTTGTGTTTTTAGTAGAGACGGGGTTTCACCATGTTTTTTTTTTGTTTGTTTTGTTTTTTTTTTGAGACGGAGTTTCGCTCTTGTTACCCAAGCTGGAGTGCAATGGCACGATCTCGGCTCACCGCAACCTCCGCCTCCTGGGTTGAGGCAATTCTCCTGCCTCAGCCTCCTAAGTAGCTGGAATTACAGGCACGTGCCACCATGCCCAGCTAATTTTTATATTTTTAGTAGAGACGGGGTTTCACCATGTTGACCCAGGATGGTCTCGATCTCTCAACCTCGTGATCCACCCGCCTCGGCCTCCCAAAGTGCTGGGATTACAGGCTTGAGCCACCGCGCCCGGCCTGTAAACATTATTTTTAACGTGGCTTTCTCCTCCATGGCATGGGTCTGTTGGTTGTCTAGAAACTTGGATGAGTAGTATCTGTTAGTGTTCCGAGAAGTTAAGATGACTTAAAACGAATATGGATTTGTATGGTTTTTTTGTTGTTTCTTTTTTTTTTTTTTTTGAAATGGAGTTTCACTCTGTCTTTCAGGCTGGAGTGCAATGACGCGATCTAAGATCACTGCGACCTCTGTCTTCCCGGGTTCAAGTAATTCTTCTGCCTCAGCCTCCCAAATAGCTGGGACTACAGGCATGCGCCATCACACCCAGCTAATTTTTGTTATTTAGTAGAGATGGGGTTTTGCCATGTTGACCAGGCTGGTCTCAAACTCCTGACCTCAGGTGATCCACCCGCCTTGGCCTCCCAAAGTGCTGGGATTACAGGCATGAACCACCCCACCCGGCCTTGATTTGTGTCTTTTCTACTCTTGCTGCCAACATCTTACTACTTTTTCTTAGACTGTTGTTTAATGCTTTTGTTTAGTGCTCACATTCTGAATACTCCCTTGTGCTATTTGAGCAGCTAGCATTTTAGAAGTTTCATTATAGGGCCCTAGCATTTGTTGGGGTGTCTTGACAGTTACTCACCTGTCTCAGAACATTGATTGTGCTATCTGTGTCTTACTTGTTGCTTGGTGTCCAATTCTGTCTTCCATAGACTTTCTCCTTCAGTATGAACCTAATCTGTCCATGCTGTAAGAAGTAGTATCTAACAAGGATCATATAAAAAAACAAGCCCGGTGCAGTGGCTCACATCTGTAATCCTAGCACTTTGGGAGGCTGGGGCAGGTGGATCACTTGAGGTCAGGAACTTGAGGACCAGCCTAGCCAACATGGTGAAACCCTGTTGCCACAATAAAAAAAAATTACAAAAATTACCTGGGCATGGTGGTGCATGCCTGTAATCCCAGCTACTTGGGAGGCTGAGGCCGGAGAATTGCTTGAACTCGGGAGGTGGAGGTTGCAGTGAGCAGAGATTACACCACTGCACTCCAGTCTGGGCAACAGAGTGAGACTCCATCTCATTAAAAAAAAAAAAAAAAAAAAATCACTGAGGCTTAATGATTTCTATTCTACTTAGCAGTCTCTGTTATCCTTCATTTATAGTACAGGTTGACTATCCCTTATCCAAAATGCTCCAAAAATTGAAACTTTTCGAGTTCTGACTTGACACTCAAAGGAAATGCTCATTGGAGCATTTCAGATTTTGGATTTTTTGATAAGGGATGCCCAAACTGTATGCTGTGTTTTCTTCCCTAGATGAAAATAAACCCATTTGGATGCATGCTGAAGAAAGAGAAGAATGCAAAGTAAGAGTTTATTATTTTGAGACTTTTTTTTGTAGATTATATATACTGCATTCAAGATAATTATTCATTTGAAATTATTTGTTATAATTTAGGGAAAGCAAAAGGATGGGACATCTTTTGGAGAGTATGGCGGCTGGTACAAAGCCTGCAAAGTTGATAGGTATGTCTGGAATCGGGTTTGGCTGGAGGAATGGAAAAGCAGGGGGAGGTAATTGTGTTCTAAAGGGCAGCTTATAAATGACTGACGTATAGTGCTGCTTAAGTGCACAGTCCCATGTTTTCCCCAAATTCCAGTTTTAAAAACCCCACTAACTTTGCAAATGAGATCATTCACATGTATAAAACCCACCATCATATTAGGTTGGTGCAAAGGTAATTGCAGTTTGCCATTACTTTTACTTTATTTATTTGTTTATCTTTGAGAAGGTGTTTCGCTCTTGTTGCCCAGGCTGGGAATGCAATGGCGCAATCTCAGCTCACTGCAACCTCCGCCTCCCGGGTTCAAGCGATTCTCTTGCCTCAGCCTCCAGAGTAGCTGGGTTTACAGGCATGTGCCACCGCGCCCGGCAACTTTTGTATTTTTAGTAGAGGAGACGGGGTTTCTCCATGTTGGTCAGGCTGGTTGTGAACTTCCGACCTCAGGTGATCCACCGGTCTCGGCCTCCCAAAGTGCTGGGATTACAGGCATGAGCCACCATGCCTGGCCCTTAATTTCTTTCTTTCTTTCTTTTTTTTTTTTTTTTTTTTTTTAAGAACAATTCTTTATTCACCATTATTGCCCAACCCCGGTCTTCCCAAGTGGGGAAACTAACATTTATGAAACAACTAATACATACCTACACTTCACAAAAACAAAAGTCCTTCCAAAATGCTATCAACTATCATTGCCACTTTAAAGATGAGGACACTGAACACTAGAAAGGATATGCAACTTGAGCAAATGCCAGTCAACTAAAAATAATTGAGCTAATTTTCAATCCAGAGCTATCTTATATATCAGATAAATCTGTATCTAACATAAATGGGAATCTCCTGTGAACCCTGGGGAGAGATAAGAATGAGCATTTAAAAAAGGTTCACTCAAGAGACAGGATTTTACGGTAACAGCATTGAAACTTTAATCTCAAGCCGGGCGCAGTGGCTCAAACCTGTAATCCCAGCACTTTGGGAGGCCGAGGCGGGTGGATCACGAGGTCAAGAGATCGAGACCATCCTGGTCAACATGGTGAAACCCCGTCTCTACTAAAAATACAAAAATTAGCTGGGCATGGTGGTGCACGCCTGTAGTCCCAGCTACTCGGGAGGCTGAGGCAGGAGAATTGCTTGAACCCAGGAGACGGAGGTTGTGGTGAGCCGAGATCGTGCCACTGCACTCCAGCCTGGATAACAAGAGTGAAACTCCGTCTCAAAAAAAAAAGAAACTTTAATCTCTTATTTTTCCTGTTTGATTTCTTAAAAAGGGTGGCATGGTCAAGAATTTTCTTTGACATGGTTTCATAATTATATTCACTTTCTCTCCATTCTGAGACTTTTCTATAAGAATATTCACTTTAATCCGACTTCTACTGCATGGCTGCAAAAGAGGATAAGAAATAACTCTTTCAAACTCCTTCATTTCTTTCTTTATCATGTGTCTCTTTTTGGTAGCTCGCTCTGGCTTCTTAAGATTCTTTCCTTGAGTGTTTGCTCCGTAAGTTCTCTCCCTCAAATCATGTGTTCCTGGTGATCTTTAATTTACATCTGTTCCCTCTCATTTATCTGCTTTCATCTCTGTGTGTTCTGGGTGACATGCCCTTCTGGTATGATTTTTGATAAATTTGTTTCTTTGGGGGAGTTATAGTACTTGTCCAAATGATTTATTCTTAAATTCTCTTGCCTGTCCTGTTTAATGTATATGCCTTTCTGTGTTTCATCTGTCAGGTACCAAATAGTACCGTTTTAATCCTTCAATGCTTTGGGTTGTTTTCCTTTCCATTTTTTTTCTTGATTTCATTGCCTGTCTCTTCTTTAATCATTTCCACTCTTCTTTTATTGTAATAAAACTCTGCTTTGGCAAGCCAATAGTCAAGAGAAAGAGCTTCCTCCCTACAGAGTATTTCATACTCCTCCTCTTGCTATTTCTGAGTTATCAGTTGTCTTCCTGCTGTTGTATGTGCAACACCCAGATTCAAGATCTTTTTCTCCAGTGGAGACTACTGACCTGCAGCAATCCTAGGATGTTTAGATGATGTAACCCAGGCCAGTCCCTTCCAAGTGCAGTGAACTGTCCCCAAAGCACACGAGGCCGGTTGTGCTCTGCAGAAAGCCCTTACTTGCCCGCGGGACCCAAGAAACGCTAGAACATCCCGGAACATTTAGCTTTTTGTTTTTAACTACTGTGCAGCTGCAAAAGGGAAATGGTGGCTCAGGACCAGGGGGAGTTGTAGTTCTGTAATCCAAAGAAATTAGTATTTGGCCAAGTACAGTTTTCGGGGGATATCCCCCACAACAGGGTTCCTGTAGGATGTGAGACAAAGAGAATGAATATCCCAGGATGGGTACTGTTGGGAAAATTAGCTGGAAGTGCAACATTGGTTACCAGTTTCATGCTCAGCATCCCATTACCAGGGTGAAAGTGGAGCCACAATCTGCCTTCAAGAGGTTAGGTTCCATCTCTCTACTTATTTAATGGCAAAAACCATACAGCAAACTCATGGCAAGCATGCTAGCAGGTCTGGGAAAGCCAGCGTGTTACACATGGCAGTGGGGACACAGATTCATACACTCTTCTTTTCCTCACGGCCCTTGGGGCCTTGTCCTCTGCAAAGGGAAGTGTAGGCCCCTCTGCGGCCAGCCCGAGAGCCTTGAGTCTTGAGCCTGAGCCTGTGCAGACTGGCCTCTGTGATGGCTGCTGTCCCTGGGTCTGAGTGGCTGTCTTTCCACCCTTTACTCAAATCCTTTAAGACCCATAGCACTTGTCATGGATTAATTGTTTTAGAGACATTGAAGATAGCTTCTTTATTTCTATATCCAAAATACCTATTATAAGAAAGGGAAAAGAAATCTCTCAAAAGTACTTATCTATGCTAAACTGAATCTAGGTTTGTTTATACTTTTTTTTAGTAAGTCTTCTCTATCAAGAGCGCAGAAATATCAAGCCCAGTGATACAGTTTGAAAAATAAAAAAGAACACAGAAGCATAGCTGTCCTTTCTGCCATCTGCTATGTATTGCTTCCCTGGTACATGAAGCATTTATTTCTCTGCCCTGACTGCCCACTGATAGGGACATTCTGCTTTGCTCTGTTTTCCCCTGTACTTGTGGGGAGATGGGAGCATGTGAGCAGCAACATTCAAAGCACCATTCCTCATTGCTGCAGGCGCAGACCAAGCTCTGTCTCCAGGGAAAGCGTGCTGATCACCACACAGACCTGGCCACACATTTCTGTTGATAGAGTGGCCAGTGGTCTGTGAGTGCCACCTTAGCCTGGATGGAGTGTGGTGTTAGCCTGGCCTGCGGGGGCTGTTTATAGGAAGGGCCAGATCATGGGAAGCAGAGCTGCTTGAGATGGAAGAACTCTTTCGAATTTTACAGTTTCAAAAAAGTATGAGAGAAAGTTAAAATATATTCAAGCCAAAACATCAGCCTTTTAGTCCTCTAGATTATGTGCCGATGGAAGTGCTTGTTCCAAAGCTTCTCTGTAATAGTTCTGTGTGTCATGTGCTTTCTTACAGTCCAACTGTTACAACCACTCTAAAAAACCTTGGGGCACTTTATAGACGTCAAGGCAAATTTGAAGCTGCAGAAACATTAGAAGAAGCTGCCATGAGGTCTCGTAAACAGGTCAGTCATACTTGTGTCCTTAACCAGCCCATGGGAACTTTGAATTTAATGGTTCTCATTTACATGACTTTTATTGAAAACTTGATTTAGAAATAGAAAATGTCAGATATTTTAGTTTGAACAAATAAAGTTATACTGTTTAAAAGATCATGAGGCCGGGCACAGTGGCTCACACCTGTAATCCTAGCACTTTGGGAGGCCGAGGCGGATGGATCACCTGAGGTCAGGAGATCGAGACCATCCTGGCCAACAGGATGAAACCCCGTCTCTACTAAAAATACAAAAATAAGTCAGGCATTGTGATGGGCGCCTGTAGTCCCAGCTACTTGGGAGGCCGAGACAGGAGAATCACTTGAACCCGGGAGGTAGAGGGTGCAGTCAGCCGAGATTGCACCACTGAACTCTAGCCTGGGTGCCAGAGTGAGACTCCATCTCAAAAAAAAAAAAAAAAAAAAATCGTAATCCCAGCACTTTGGGAGGCCAAGGTGGGGAGATTGCCTGAGATCAGGAGTTCAGGACCAGCCTGGTTAGCATGGCAAAATACCATCTCTACTAAAAATACAAAAATTAGCCGGGCGCGGTGGCTCAAGCCTGTAATCCCAGCACTTTGGGAGGCCGAGGCAGGTGGATCACAAGGTCAAGAGATCGAGACCATCTTGGTCAACATGGTGAAACCCCGTCTCTACTAAAAATACAAAAAAACTAGCTGGGCGTGGTGGCACGTGCCTGTAATCCCAGCTACTCAGGAGGCTGAGGCAGGAGAATTGCCTGAACCCAGGAGGCGGAGGTTGCGGTGAGCCGAGATCGCGCCATTGCACTCCAGCCTGGGTAACAAGAGCGAAACTCCGTCTCAAAACAAAAACAAAAACAAAAACAAAAAACAAAAATTAGCCGGGTGCAGTGTTAGCGCCTGTAGTCCAGCTCCTCGGGAGGCTAAGGTAGGAGAGTTGCTTGAACCTGGGAGGCAGAGGTTGCAGTGAGCTGAGATTGCACCACTGCACTCCAGCCTGGGTGACAGAGTAAAACTTTATCTCAAAAATTTAAAAAAAAATTAAAAATTAAAGAGCATGAATATGACCCCAAAAGCATGAACAGCAAAATACAAACTAGATCTGTTGGATTTACCAATGTTAAAAACTCTTGTGCATCTAAGGACATCATCAAGAAAGTGCAGGGGGCTGGGCATGGTGGTGAGCACTGTAATTCCAACACTTGGGGAAGCTGAGGCTGGAGGATCTCTTGAGCTCAGGAGTGCAAAACCAGCCCGGGCAACATAGTGATACTTTGTCTCTATAAAAAAACAAAAAAAATTAGCCGGGTGTATTGGCCTGTGCCTGTGGTCCCAACTGTTTGGGAGTCTGAGGTGGGAGGATCGCTTGAGCCCAGATCGCTTGAGCCCAGGCGGTTGAGGTTACAGTGAGCTGAGATGACACCACGGCACTCCAGTCTGGAAGAATGAGTGAGACTGTCTCAAAGAAAAAAAAAAGAGCAAAGGACCTGAATAGACATTTTTTTGAAGATAATATACAGATGGCCAACAAGCACATGAAAAGATACTCAACATCTTTAGTCATTATGGAAATGTTAACTGAAATCACAGCGAGATACTACCACATACTCACTAGAATGGCTATTATAAAAAAACAGGCTGGGTGCGGTGGCTTAGGCCTGTAATCCCAGCACTTTGGGAGGCTGAAGTGGGCGGATCACGACGTCAGGAGTGCGAGACCAGCCTGACCAACATGGTGATACTCTGTCTCTACTAAAAATAGAAAAATTAGCAGAGTGTAGTGGTGCGCACCTATAATCCCAGCTACTCAGGAGGCTGAGGCAGGAGAACTGCTTAAGCCTGGGAGGTGGAGATTATAGTGAGTCAAAACTATGCCACTGCACTCCAGCTTGGGCGACAGAGAGAGACTCCATCTCAAAAAATAAAAATACAGTAATAAATTAAAAAATAAATAAAACAAATGGAAAATAACAGATGCTGGTGAGGATGTGGAGAGTCGCCAAGATTGCACCACTGACCCCTCGTGTTTTGCTCTGGGAATGTAAAATGCAGCCACTGTGAAGTTTGATAGCTTACCTGAAAGTTACACTCAGAATCACCACATGACTCGGCAGTTCCAGTCCTAGATACGGACCCAGAAGAATTGAACACGGCCACACACGTTGTGCAACCCAAGTTCCGTCACTATACCCCTAACGGGTCCTTCGTGTTTCTCTCCACGTCCCTGCTTCCACTCTCACCCCCTCCAAGGAACCACTGTTATTTTTTTCCTCTTCAGAGATTAAGAACTGGCATTTTTTTTCCTAGCGAAGTTTAAGTATCTCAGAAATACCTAAGAAAATTTTAAGTGCTAATGGGTCAAACCGTTTTCCCCTGCCTGGCTCACAGGGTCTTGACAATGTTCACAAACAGAGGGTGGCGGAAGTGCTCAATGACCCTGAAAACATGGAGAAGCGCAGGAGCCGCGAGAGCCTCAATGTGGACGTGGTCAAGTACGAGAGTGGCCCTGACGGAGGGGAGGAAGTGAGTATGAGCGTAGAGTGGAACGGGGTAAGTACAGTACACAGCGGGCACGTGCTCCGGGAGGCACCCCCCAGTGGCGCTTGCCAGGCCTTCCTCCTGTCTCATGTGCTAGACCTTCTGCTTTTCTCAAATTAAGTGCCAATTAAGCTTTCTGTAAGTTCTTCACTTCTGCTAATACTGAAGTCTGTTATTTGTTTAAAGTGGTAATTTTCTTCTCAGAAATCCATGAAAGCTGTTTGGCTTCACTTTGAGCACTTAAATGCTGATTGAGTGTCCTGGCTATTTAAAGCATGATCCCTATCTGGTTTCATTTTAATATTGGGATCAGTGTGGCAGATAACTAACTCGCCTTGTTAACTCACCCATTCATTGCTAACTGCAGTGCTCCTAACTTCACTGACCAGGCTCCTCTAGATTTTCTTAGAATGGGTTGAGGTGCGTTAAAGGGAGATGTTGTTTAAGTGGAATTTGTTTTTAGAAAAGAACAGGTCAGAAACAACAGCTTAGGTGGCTGCTCTGTTGATGTTGTGCCTCAGTCCTGAGCACCCTGCATTTCCCCTGAGAGGGCGTCCAGGGCTTTAGGGCTCTTCAAGGTCACCAGCCCGCTGTGTGCTGAGAGGCTGCATGCACACGCACCCGCTCTGCGTTTTCCTGGTTTGCCTCTGGAAATTCCTAACCACTGCCATTTATCCAGTGGCTGCCAAAGACCACGTAGCCTTCTGGACATTTTTTCTCCAGTGAATTTTTTAACACATGAATTCATTTTTTGATACATCAAGCTGGTGTCTTTGGTATTTTGCTTCTGTCAGGGAGAGTTGAAGGCGGAATTTGACTAATCTGGGGGCACAGTTGTTTTTCTGAAGTTGCCATAGTGCAGTTTGGTTAGTTATAATTATACAGATGTTCTGCCCCAAACAAATACAGTTTTGGGCTTTCTTATAATGTGTCTTAGTTTCTGAATCCTTTTATTCTTTAGGATTTTCTATAGCTATAGCAATTTGGTAAGAGCTAGCATTCTAAATAAATATTTTATAAAAAATGATAGTAGCCAAAATTTGAGGGAGAACATTCTTTGTCTTTATCTGGCAGCTTTCTTGCTTTGTTTTTTTTTCTGTGCCAAGACAACCAATCAGCATCTGCGTTGCCCACTCAGCCCTAGTTGGGCAGTGTTCTAAAACTGAAACGCTGACTCGCAGGCCTTACTCTTGCCCGCATCCTGTCAGAACTGTGTACTGTACTCTTCTCTTGGCTGCTGTTTACCTGCATGCTTTGTATAGAAGGGCAAATCCTTTATCTAGGCTCTAGGAGCTAGGGTGCAGATGGTGATCCTCTTGAATGAAGTTCAAGGAAGAACTTTCTCTTGAGACAGTATTTCTAGGTCCATGTTGACATGAAATCATCTGTTGATAAAATTGTGACAATTCAGAGCTCTGTTGTCATCTTAAAGATAGACTCGGAGATGAAGGAGAACTGCTTGCATCCACTGTAGGGGATCTGTGGGCGGGCGTCCCCGTGAGGCCTGCTGGCCGGAAGTGCTGCTGCTGTAGGTGAAAGCAGCTGCTCCTCCTCCTTCTGCGCTTCCTTTCTCACTTTGGACACTTGATTATGTAGGCCATGCGCAGGCTGTTTCTGATGTGTCCCTTTCCTGAGCAGTATACTTGGTAGCTCTGCAGCTTTGATAGAATTAACCCCAGCGTGCATTGGCTACGGGTGATCTACCAAAACAGTCTGAGTTTTAAATTTTCCAGTGCGGTGGTTCCTAAACTCACTTTGTGCATGGAGGCAGCCTCCTCTTCAGACGGAGTCTTAGATAAAGCGAGTGAATTCACTGGGCGGGCAGCTGAGGCTGCCTGAGAATCTTCACAGGAAGGCCTTGGGCCCCAGCCTGATCCCCCCACAACTCTTAAGGTTTTCAGAAGGCAGAATGCTGAACTCGACCAACTTTCGATTTTATTTTCAAATTACACCTTTCTTATTTTATTTTTAATATATATATATATATTTTTAAAGATAGGGTTTCACCGTGATGGCCAGGCTGGTCTTGAACTCCTGACCTCAGGTGATCCACCCACCTCAGCCTCCCAAAGTGCTAGGATTACAGGCGTGAGCCACCGCGCCCAGCTCTACACCCTTCTTATTAAAAGGCAGTGAGGGCAGTATGCACAAAGGTATTAATTTTTGATCAACTTTATTGAGGGATAATTAGAGGCACTAAAAGGGGGGCCCATTTTAAATGTTTGATTTAGATGGTAACACAGTGCGCATTAGTCTGTCTTTATATTGATGTTAAAACAAAGTTTCTCTTGCTGTTTAAGTGAAGATTTCCCTGAGATTGCAAAACAAACTGTTACCACTGTAGTCACTCTGTGCATCAAGAATTTTTTCAGTATTATGCAATCAAGATAAAACAGAGAAATAAATTAGGTGTTGAGGTAGATGTTAAGACTATACCTGTGGCCGGGTGTGGTGGCTCATGCCTGTAATCCTTCCACTTGGGGAGGTCAAGGTGGGTGGATCACTTGAGGTTTGAAGTTTGAGATGAGCCTGGCCAACATGGTGAAACTCTGTCTCTACTAAAAATACAAAAATTAATTGGGTGTGGTAGTGGGCACCTGTAATCCCATCTACTTGGGAGGCTGAGGCAGGGGACTCCCTTAAATCCAGGAGGCAGAGGTTGCAGTGAGCCAACATAATGCCACTGCACTCTAGCCTGGGTGACAGAGCAAGACTGTCTCAAAAAAGGAAAAAACCAAACAATTATACCTGATATCTATAACATCAGATTTCAAATTTTGGGTTTTATAAAGGTAGCTTTATTGTTCTTGTTAGTTTTATTAGAATAATTTGTTACATATTTATAATGAGAACATGTGATTTCGATTCGATTTATTTATTTATTTATTTATTTATTTATTTATTTTGGACATGGAGTTTCACTCTTGTTGCCCAGGCTAGAGTGCAATGGCGTGATCTTAGCTCACCGCAACCTCTGTCTCCCGGGTTCAAGCAATTCTCCTGCCTCAGCCTCCCTAGTAGCTGGGATTACAGATGCCCACTACCATCCCAGGCAATGTTTTGTATGTTTAGTAGAGATAGGGTTTCACATGTTGGCCATGCTGGTCTCAAATTCATGACCTCAGGTGATCCACCTGCCTCAGGCTCCCAAAGTGCTGGGATTATAGGCTTGAGCCAACATGCCTGGCTGTGTGTGTGTGTGTGTGTGTGTGTGTGTGTGTGTGTGTGTGTGTGATTACAGGCATGAGCCACCATGCCTGGTGGGGGGGTGTGTGTGTGTGTGTGTATTTTTTTTTTTTTTTTTTTTTTTGGAGACAGAGTCTCACTCCATTGCCCAGGCTGGAGTTAGGTGGTGCAATCTTGGCTCACTTCAACTTTGCCTTCCGAGTTCCAGTGATTCTCCTGCCTCAGCCTAAAAGGCATTTTTATGCTTTTTAAAATGTTGGAAACTACTACCATAGCGAAATACATTGTGCTCCCCATTTGGCAGTCACAGCTTCAGCAGAAGTGACTGCAGGGAATGACTGTGACAGCTTTTGATTAAGTTATAATAACCACATACACCAGATATTGGGCTCAGTTTTTCTCAGTATTTGGAAGTAACATTTAAAACAAAGAGTTACGTGGTCCAAGAAAGGGCAAGTTGGTTAATAATTGTCCCCTGTGGGCCCTGGGCGTTGGTGTCACACAGAACTGAGAAGGAAGGCAGGTGGTGACAGATGCTAGTAATGTGCAGGGATCGTCTGGATCAAAGTCTCGACCTGGAGGGTGGTTTGTCCAAGGAAGTACAGTTCTCTTCTGTTTTGTTTTGTTTTGGTGAGACGAAGTATTGCTCTGTTGCCCAGGCTGGAGTGCAGTGGCTTGATCTCAGTTCACTGCAACCTCTGTCTTCCAGGTTCAAGTGATTCTTCTGCCTCAGCCTCCCAAGTAGCCAGGACTGTAGGTGCAGGCCACCACGCCCAGCTAGTTTTTTGTTTTTTTAGTAGAGACAGGGTTTTACCATATTAGCCAGGCTGGTCTCAAACTCCTGACCTCATGATCCACCCGCCTCAGCCTCCCAAAGTGCTGGGATTACAGGCATGAGCCACTGCGCCCGTCCAATCCTCTTCTTTAGGTACACACCATAGGGTCTGTGATTAAACTACTGAACAGCGTCACTTCTGTGACCTCATTTTCATGTGATGTGTGCAGATCTGGCAGCCGTTGTTGCTGCGAGTCTCAGTTGGCTCTCTCTCATGGTCTTGCCGCTGAAAGTGCGGCTGCTTTGTGCACACATAAATCCTTTTCTGGATAAAACTGAGCCTCCTATAACCACTGTCCGTGTGACTTTGCGTTCATCGTGTGATGTGCATATGTCAGTCCGCAGCACCAGGTCCCCGTTGGGATGTGGGAGCCCCTTGGGCTGTCTCATCATGAAGCAGTTGTCTTTACAGTGGTCCCATGAGACACACAGAGCTGCATCATCCTACATCCTAGGTGGAGCCTGAGCTCCCGAGGTCAGTCTCCTGGTTGCAGACCTTTGTCTGTCCGTAGGTCACCAGCTCTGCCGTGGACTTTTGAAACAGCCCCTCTCCGTCTTGCCCCCATGTGAAGATTTCTACATGTTTCCAATATACTACATTCTTACCTAGGATTGTTGGGGAATGGAATATATTGTTAGAAAGGATGAATTTTTATTTTTATTTTATTATTTTTTTTTTAAGAGACGGGGTTTCACCATGTTGGCCAGGTTGGTCTTGAACTGCTGACCTCAGGTAATTCACCCGCCTCGGCCTCCCAAAGTGCTGGGATTACAAGCGTGAGCTACCACGCTCGGCCGAATTTTTATTTTTAAAAAGTTATACTAAGGGCTGGGTGTGGTGGCTCATGTCTGTATTCCCATCACTTTGGGAGGCTGAGGCCGGTGGATCATTTGAGGTCAAGAGTTTGAGACCAGCCTGGCCAACACAGTGAAACTTCATCTCTACTAAAAATACAAAAATCAGCCAGGTGTGGTTGTGCACGCCTGTAATCCCAGCTACTCAAGCGTCTTGAGCCAGGGAATCGCTTGAACCCAGTGGGTAGAGGCTGCAGTGAGCCAAGGTCATGCCACTGCACTCCAGCCTGGGCGACAGAGCCAGACTCCATCTAAAAAAAAAAAAATTACCGTAGTAAGACAACTAAAGTATGCCAAAAATAAACTTAACACCAAATTATATGAAATTCTGCTGTACATAATGACTGCCTATTTTTAAACTGTGAATGCATTATACTATTAATCCTGTTCGGATAACCCAACCCACCTTTGGAATGTGAATATTCTTTCCCAGCAATATAAAGAGGTAGACATTTCTTAAGGTGTTAGAATGTGGTGAATCCTCCCAGGCCCTGGTGTCCAGTTGAGTGGAAATCTGCCTGGGGTAGGGCAGCTGCTGGCCTTACCCCGGTTCTCAAGGTCAAGGTGCTCAGGTGGCAAGTGCAGGGAAGTGGGCAGACTGACCCAGAGTGGGGCACCCCACTCCACTGCCAGCCCTAGGTGTTGGTCAGGGTCTGCAGAGGCTCAGGGAGGAGGAGGCAGCTGGGCTGGACCCCAGTTCTGGGACTCCTGGGAGCGCGCACGCGTGTGTGTGTGTGTGTCACATGAAATACTTTTGGAATCTGAGTGAAATGAGTCTTCTGTGTCCTGCCAAGTATTTAGTTGAGGTGTATTATAAATAACAGTACCTGTAGTGCAGCACTGAGTTTTGAATGAACAGCAAGGGCTGCACTCTTGATGATGCGGAGGTAGCATTTTAGCATCCTTTTTCTAAAGAGCAGCAAAAACTTGTATTTTCTTGTCCTCGCAAGATTTTTGAGGTGTTGGTAACAAGTGTTATTTTTCCATTTTAAAGATGAGAAAAATGAAGCTCGGGCTGGTTAAATGACTTGCTCAGCGTCCCATGGTGAGTCCGAGCGGGCGGGGCGCAGGCCCTGCTGTCTGTTGCCTCTGTCGAGACGTCGGCTTTCCAATCTGGCAGGACCCAGGATACAGTGCTGCCTGTGGAATTCGTTTTCTTTTGGATTATCAACTGCATGTTTAAAATGTGCTGGAGACTTTTAAAGTCTGTGGTTTCCTAAAGTTTCTGAAATGTCTACAACGTGCTTTTAAGAGAATGAAAGTCATACCGTATTGTAGCCTTTATTTTGGTCCCTATGTTTTTCATTGCATAATCTCCTTACATACAGTTACTTGTAAAGCCTTTTACGCTAAGTGTCAAGGAAATTTCCAACACATTGCTATCTTTAAAGTGTTGAAATTTACTTTGGTGACCATTGGGAATGGACCAGTCTGGATTCTGTGAAATGCACCCCGAGGCCCGGCACCTGCTTTCTGCTGGGCTGGTAGAAGCAGGCAGAAGGTCATCCCAGTCCTAAAGCCACTCAGAAGGCTGCTGAGACTTGTGACCTAGAAATACTGTAAGCCAGGCTGTGTTTTGCAGGGCCTGTTGCCTTTCCTCGCCGCGGTTTCACGTGGGTTTTCTCTCTCCTTTCTGTCTGACAGGCCTAGCCGCCCGTGACTCTCACTGTCTCCTGCATGCGGGCGGCGCCCCCCGCGGCTTCCCTTCTCCCTCCAGTGCTGCCCGCCGTGTCTGGCGGCCCCTAGGATCTTGTCAGAGCTGCACCTCTCTGTGACTGGCCATTCCTTTCGGGGCTGCTGTCCTTTTTGGGGGGTTCCTGATTTCTGTATACATGTAGCTTTGCCAGATATGTACTTAGTAATATAAATTGTATTAATAAAATCCATTTACTGTGTAATACATGACTTTAAAAATTAAGAGCGATAGCTGTTCACTCTGATAACAGGAAGTTAAGTGTCACACAAGGTGTTGTTGCAATGGCATGACGGTGACCTGTTGACGTAATTAAGCCTTAGAGCAAGGCATGTGCCGCACGTGCTCCGTGGTCTCCCTAGGATACGCCCCAGTAGCATTTGCTGTGTAGTCTGTGTGTGAAATTTGGGCATTCTGCTTTTCTCTACTAATCTTGAAGTGCTCAGTGATTTGTGTATTTGTGTCTTTCTAACTTCTAATAAACTCACTCCGACTGACCTGTGTCTTGTGTCTGTCTGCTTGGTAGAACTTCTCACTCTATCCATGAAACGCCGCATGGCCCAGCTGCTGAGGGTCATGGGGTAACTGTTCATCTCACCAAGGAGTTTCTTCCGAGAATAAATGTTGCTGTATGCACATTTTCTTTACTTTGTGTTTTTAATTATCATGTTTAGATACTGCCAAGTATTTCACTTCTTAATACCTGAATGAACTAAGATGAGAGCTGGCCACTCTCACCTCCCTACAACGTTGTCTGAGGATTTTTAGTTATTTGCATAGAATGAGCATTTTATTTAATTTTCCAACCACCTTTATAGTTAACATTTAATGAAACGGTTCTGTAAAATTTACTGAAGGAAACAGTACCTCACCAACTATTGCACTTAGACAAAGCTGTTAAAAGGAAGGGCCTCTGTTAGATCCAAATGGTTTGGGTCCTGTACTGTGTTACTTGGACCACATGCTTACATGTCTGTTAAATGTGGAAATCGATTTTGGTGATATTCCTAGAAGCTGCTTTAATTTTCTTGAGACTTTGTGTGCTGGCTTTGCCTCAAAATTGCAGTAGGATTCACGTTGCTTTTGGGATGTGATCACTTTTGTTTGTATGAGCTTCCTTATGTCCAAAGATTTTCATGATCACTGTATAATCTTTAATGGAATTAAAAATGGATAATTTCCAGTTAAAGTACATGGTAATTGGAGGTTTCTGCAAGACTCTGTCAGCAGTGAGTTGCTGGCGAGTGGGATGGCCTTGGCGGAGCTCTTACTGGCACCCGGTGTGGCTCTTGTGGGAGGGAGGGAGAGCCACCTGCAGCTTCATGTTTGTTCACGTTTTTTTCAGGATGGCACTGGATCTTTAAAACGCAGTGGTTCCTTTAGCAAACTCCGGGCTTCCATTAGACGCAGCAGTGAGAAGCTGGTTAGGAAGCTGAAGGGAGGAAGTTCACGAGAGAGTGAGCCAAAGAACCCCGGGTAACTATCTCTTCCAGCTCTCCTGACTCCCCTGCACACCGGCCGAGGGGCCGCTTCTGCTAGCACAGCCTTTCTCACCCACAGACCTCAGAAAAGACACTCCACTGGTTCCTGTATTCTCACACTGGGAGGGTTTCATAGTTGCCACCTAGGTTTTCCCAGCTTAGGTTGAGAAATAATTGGGTAACTTCCTGTTAGTGGCTAAAGAGCTAATACCTTTAAAAGAAAATACGGAATTTTTTTGATTCTGTCACATGTTCTAAGAAAGCCTTAGCAGTGAAATGTCGGAATTTATATTAAAACACTGAGCATTTTGAACTTGTTTACTCTAGATGTGCATTATTTGTTTTTTAAATTTGCATTAGTTTAAATTCTTTAAAAATTTTAATTTTTAAAAATCAGATGTTAGCTACGACTATCTTAAATCTCATACAGTATTATAATAGGGAGAAAAATGGTTTCAAATAGCATCAGAACTTTTAAGACTATTATAAGGAGATTTTCAAAACCTTAGGTTTTTCATATGTTCAAAAAAAGATCTGAGTCATGTATCTTAGAGTCTTTTGAAAAGTAACAATTAATTGTCGCCGGGTGTGGTGGCTCAAGCCTGTAATCCCAGCCCTTTGGAAGGCCGAGGCGGGTGGATCACGAGGTCAAGAGATCGAGACCATCCTGGTCAACATGGTGAAACCCCGTCTCTACTAAAAATACAAAAAATTAGCTGGGCATGGTGGCGCATGCCTGTAATCCCAGCTACTCAGGAGGCTGAGGCAGGAGAATTGCCTGAACCTGGGAGGCGGAGGTTGCGGTGAGCCGAGATCGCGCCATTGCACTCCAGCCTGGGTAACAAGAGCGAAACTCCGTCTCAAAAAAAGAAAAAAAAAAATTGCCAAGTAATTTGGTTCTTAGGTTGCCCTTTGTTTTTAATATGGTGCACAAAGTTGACAGATTGTCCCTGCTGCAGTGTCCAGGGTCACCTCTGGGCAGCTGCTCCTGGCTTGGGCATATTTCTCATGAGGCAGGCTTTTGCCAGCCATTCTGTGTAACTTTGACTTTCTAAATGGTAGCGACTTTTAAAAGAGTTATTCCTAGTAAAACTGTTTTACAAGTGATCCCACTGCAGGTTCTGCGAGTAGGAAGTATGATCATCTCCGGATGGTGAAACTGAGTTCTTCTGGAGAACATATTGGAAATAATTAAAGTTAGATGCCTGATCAGTTGTTTTGTTATTTTGTCTTTTGGGGTTTTTTTTTTGGCAGTGGGGGAGGACAGAGTGTTGCTCTTTACTCTTATTGCCCAGGCTGGAGTGCAGTCACACAATTTCAGCTCACTGGAACCTCCACCCCCCGGGTTCAAGTGATTCTCCTGCCTCAGCCTCCCAAGTAGCTGGGATTACAGCCGTGTCCCACCACGCCTGACTAAGTTTTGTATTTTTAGTATAGACAGGGTTTCACCGCATTGACCAGGGTGGTCTCAAACTCCTGACCTCAGGTGATCCACCCGCCTCGGCCTCTCAAAGTGCTGGGATTACAGGCGTGAACCACTGTGCCCCGCCTATTTTGTCTTTTCAAAACTATTTTTATATATGTCCACTTTTATCCCTCTCAAGTGTCCCTGACAGCCTAAGCCCTTAGACCTCCTGCCTTACACAACCCAGGTGCGGGGTGGCCAGAGATAGCCCAGCCCCTTGGTGGTGGGGCTCGCCCTCTTGTCTGCTTTGTGTCCCCGTGGGAGTCTCCACTGTGAATGGAGACTTCTCTTCAAGGCTGTGAAACAGGTGCAGGCCTGAGGCAAGAGGAGTGACCTGGCTTTTGTAAGAAGCTTCTCATAACTGTTTTCCAGCCCATTTCTGGAGAGGGAGTTTTAGAGGCCCCATGAATGTTCACTCTGAAAACTCCCAGGATTTGAAGACTAGACTTCTGGAAGTTTATGGGGATTTAGCAGCAAATTGCCTATGATGAAACAAACGAACTTTTATTTGCGGGGGATGGGGGGAAATAGGTTCTAAATTGGCTTTCGAATAATGTTCTTATTTTATAATGTTTACAGATTTCCAGAACCAAAATGTTATAGGTTACTATTTGCCTCTTGATGAATTGTGAAGGATTACACATTTCTTCTTACTGCATTTAGAGGGTCTGAGCAGTGCTGTGTGACTGTTTGGTGTCCCTTCCTTGGAATGATTGGATGAGTCATGCAGGGCACTCAGATCTCCTACAGGAATTACATGATGCCCCATGGAGAGCATTCTGGACATTATTTAATTCCTGGAGGAGATACACTGGTTGTTTGAGGTGCTTAAGTTCTGAAGCCTTGTAAGTGTAGAGGTCAGAGTTATGCTTTTTCGTGTCTTCTGTCTTTGCCATGATAAAAATGTAGCAGTGTGTGACCAGTCCCTGGTGTTAGAACTGTGGTCTGTAGCACCGCCAGCCTGAAGCATGTGACACAGATGCATACACTTGCACGGACTGATGTTTTCTAAGTGACTTTGGAAATTGCATCCGGTATAATCCTTCCAAATAGGAGTAACTGTTTTTATCAGCTAGACGGTAGTTTCAGACATCTTTTGGAGGGTTGGTTTGGACAGAGACTTGAGGCCCCACCCCTGGGTTTCCAATTCCTGAGTGCCTGGATCCTCGGAATTTGCGGTTCACGCAAGTTCCCACGGTGCTGGGGCTGCTGGCCCCAGGTCACTTTTTGAGAATCACTGAGCTGGATGTAGCAGGACCAGGGTATTTGCAGTTTGCTGTTTGGCCTGACTCCTAACAGTTACTGTACTAAAAGGTTTCGAAGCCACGTATTCAAACGAGGCAATTCGAGAGTGTGGTAGGAAGAGACGTTGAGTTGTTCTTTCATTTCGTAAAAGGGGGTTTGAGGGAAGTTTGTGTAGCTCAGGCGTCCCCAAACTACGGCCCGCGGGCCGCATGCAGCCCCAAGGCCATTTATCCGGCTCCCCGCCGCATTTCAGGAAGGGGCATCTCTTTCACTGGTGGTCAGTGAGAGGAGCACAGTATGTGGTGGCCCTCCAACGGTCTGAGGGACATTGAACTGGCCCCCTGTGTAAAAAGTTTGGGGGCCGGGCGCGGTGGCTCAAGCCTGTAATCCCAGCACTTTGGGAGGCCGAGGCGGGTGGATCAAGAGGTCAAGAGATCGAGACCATCCTGGTCAACATGGTGAAACCCCGTCTCTACTAAAAATACTAAAAATTAGCTGGGCATGGTGGCGTGTGCCTGTAAGCCCAGCTACTCAGGAGGCTGAGGCAGGAGAATTGCCTGAACCCAGGGAGGCGGAGGTTGCGGTGAGCCGAGATCGCGCCATTGCACTCCAGCCTGGGCAACAAGAGCGAAACTCCGTCTCAAAAAAAAAAAAAAAAAGTTTGGGGACGCCTGGTGTAGCTCTTTTTTTAAAAAGTTAATGATGGCTGGGCGTGGTAGCTCACGCCTGTAATCCCAGTACTTTGGGAGGCCAAGGTGGCTGGATCACTTGAGGTCATGACTTTGAGACCAGCCTGGCCAACATGGTGAAACTCTCTACTAAAAATACAAAAATTAGCTAGGCGTGGTGGCAGGCAGCTGTAATCCCAGCTACTTGGGAGGCTGAGGCAGGAGCACACTGAAACCTGGGGTGGGGCAGACGTTGCAGTGAGCCGAGATCACACCACTGCACTCCAGCCTGGGAGAGAGAGCGAAACTTCATCTCAAAGAAAAGAGTTAATGGCCACTTAAACAATAGCAAGAATAACTAAGTATGTTGGATGATAATTTACTTGTGATTTGGTTTGATTTTATACTTTGTTCTTTTTTTTTTTTTTTGAGACAGAGTTTCGCTCTTGTTACCCAGGCTGGAGTGCAATGGCTCGATCTCGGCTCACCACAGCTTCTACTTCCTGGGTTCAGGCAATTCTCCTGCCTCAGCCTCCTGAGTAGCTGGGATTACAGGCACGTGCCACCATGCCCAGCTAATTTTTTGTATTTTTAGTAGAGACAGGGTTTCACCAGGTTGACCAGGATGGTCTCGATCT